TCCAATGTCCATTTGCTACCTTAATACTAAACCTATAAATATATGCACATGGGTCTATTTCCCCATCCTCATATATATTTACATATGTACATGTCCGTATTTTGACCTCTATAAATGCCCTTTGCCTCCTAGTTCTCTCCTCTATTTCCATTTACCGGCGTGGCTTGGAGTGGTGGCCGGGCCTGCTCCTTGGGCTCAGGGGAAGCCTCTGGGCCCGAATCAACAGCCCACTGGTTGTCCTCAGGGTTCAGGGTTCAGGGTACTTAGTGCCTTTTTCCCTCAACTGTCATTGCAGGCTCCAGGGGAAAACAACGGCGCTGTACTCTGAGCTTGCTTTACATGCACGCTGCCTTCTCCAAAGTCACTCTCCATGGTATAAACCTCGGTTTCCTGGGAGATCATGTACAGCGGGTGGGTGAGTAGAATCTGCTCCCAGGACCCGTGGAGTCAGGGTCTTGTTTGGTGCATGCCCGCAGGCACTCTTGTCCCCAGACTCGTGCATACACGTGCGCGCACACATGCATGGATCCTGCTTTCTTTCTACAGACATGGGCCATATGCCATCCTAACAGCCCTTCTTCTTAGACTGTGGCCTTCCATGGGGCCCCCCCACATCTCTGGGGAGGTGCTGCTGGGCTCCCTGCACACCTCAGATGGGAAAGAAAAGACCCTTTTGTGCTCCCTGCACTGTAAGTCAATCAAACGTTATTTATTTTCTAAACGTATAAAAACACACATATATATAAAAGGGACTCACACGACACTAGAATTACGAGAGCTCATTGGACAAAACAGCTGGGTGGGCGAGGCCGCAGTGGGGACAGCACAGCCCCAAACCTAAGAGGGTTCAATCAGGGCTCTACCCCGGACCCATATGGAAGCTACTTGTCAATTATACATGGACATAGAGGACACTTTATTAAATGCAGACACATACAAGGAAGGCCAGTTCTCCAAGTTTATAAAATATACTTCCAGGGGCTCAGGAAAATAATCTCATGTTAGTCCCAGGGAACTTTTCTTCCCAAGAGTCGATTGGTCACTTTCTGTGGAGGGAAAAAAGGGCAGAAGGAAGTTAACTACTTCCCCTAGAGGTAGTCCGGCCGCGTCCCACCACACATGTCTCAGAAGAGATCTAAATTCTCTTCATCTTCTGCTAAAAAAATGTACTCGTAGAAATGTTTATAGGAAAGAGATCAATACTTGCAGATGGTCACTAATCTGGATGGGTCAATCAGTCCATCTATTTATAAACACAAGCCCCCCAAGATGCTGGTCCTGGGGTGCTGATGCCCCACTGGGCCTTGCTGCCCGGGGCCGCCTGGCTGAGGATGCTGGCCTCTGTGACCCCTTGGCAGTCTGGTATGGGCTGTGTTTCCGTCTCTGACTTTCAGAGTCAGCGATGACAGGAAGGTGGGGAAGGAAACAAGGACAGTGCTGACTGGGAAGGACACAGGACCAAGGCCCTTAGGGCCCAGCAGGCAGCCTGGTGCCCTCCAGGGAGCCAGCGGCAGCCCCCAGGCCCCTTGATGAAAACAACTGAACTCTCAGTGGCCGTGGTCTGAAAATGGTGGCAGCTTGGAGACCTCTGACCCTCCCGACGGCCAACTCTGAGACCACATTCAGACACTTCCCAGTTTACTCTCAAAGTTCAAGGGTCATACGATGATCTATTCTAGCCAAAGGGGACAGAGAACCAATGCTTCGGGAGTCTGGAATGAAAACCCTCAATTCGGGTTGACTTGGGCATTTCCTCCAGGAGTCCGAAAGGGCCTGGCAGTGTAAAACCTCACTCCCTTCCCAAAGTGTGCAGGGACGCAGGCAACGAGTGCACCGGGCAAAGAAGGATGGAAGGTGGCAGCACGTCTGACCTCCTGCTTGTGGCGACAGGGAGGCCCGAGGGGATGGTGGTGCTTTCAGGGGCCCTATACGACGCAGGCCGATGGCACAGAGAAACAGAGCTTCTAAGACGGGGGTGGGGGTGGGGCCGGGCCCAAGACCAGATCTGAAATCTGCTCACGGGCACCTTCATCTTCCAAATTTCGGCAGAAGCAAGGTGCGTGACACGCGTCCATCCAAGGTGCCATCAAGTCGGCCAGGTCTGAACAGTGCTCAGAGAGGTCGCCTGATAAACCTGACCCAGAGACTGACTGACCTTTTTATAGAGCTGGGCCCGCAGCCGGTAGCACTTATATTCTGACTGCCTCTTCTCCTCCTCTTTCCGTTTCTGAACTTCTGGAAGCTGCTCATACATCCTGGGAAACGGCACAGAGGAGACACACAGGGTGGAGGTTACCGGGGTGCGGAAGGAGCACAGCATGATTGCTGTTGGGGTCTTCTCACCCACCTTACTGACCCGACCACTCCCAAGGCCGCTCTTTCCTGCACAGACAAGCCGGGCTCTGTCCACGCTCGGTACCCAAGCTGGTACTCCACACTAGCACTAGATTGGCTTGGCCCAGAGGCCTTTGGGTGCCCATGTCCTACGAGGGGAGACTGAGGAATAAAAATGTAATAGAAAACCTGCAAACAGTGGGTCCTTCAGGGGAAGGAGCACAGCAAAGGGCGGGAGGCAAACTGCTTCTCATTCTGTCTGCAAAATGTACTGTTTCAACACAAATAAGGAACATGTCTTTCCCACTCTTCCCTCTTCAAAGTCCAACTTGCACATGCAGAAGGGGAGACTGAAACAGCACGGCTTGGGTCAGGTGCACATTAGTCCTCAAAGTATCAGCTTGGGTTTCGACACTTTAAAGAGGTCTTGTGCAGATTTCCTAATGCAATGCATTGTTTGATCTCCTGACTGCTGCTGCTATAAGCATTGGCTGTGGATCCAAGGAAGACGAAGTCCTTGACAACTTCAACTTTTCCTCCATGTATCGTGATGTTACCTATTGGTCCAGTTTTGGGGAGTTTTCTTTACATTCTGTTATAATCCATTCTCAAGGCTGCGATCCTTGATCTTCGTCAGCAAGTACTTCAAGTCCTCCTCACTTTCAGCCAGCAAGGTTGTGTCGGCTGCACACCGCAGGTTGTAAACCAGTCTTCCTCCAGCCCTGATGCCGTTCTTCCTCTCCTCCAGCTTCTCTGACGACGGGCTCCGTGAACAGAGTGAATAAGTATGGGGCGAGGATATAACCCCGACACCCCCTTCTCTTGATTTTAAACCATGCAGCATTCCCTTGTTCTGTTTACCTCTTGACCCATGTACATGAGCACAGTGTAGGGTTCTGGAACATCCTTTCTGCTCAAGGTTACCCATAGTTTTTTATGGTCCACATAGTCAAGTGCCTTTTTACAGTCAATAAAATACAAGTAAACATCTTTCTGGTATTTTCTGCTTTCAGTCAAGATCCATCTGCCATCAGCAATGACACCCCTACGTGCACATTGTCCTCGGAATCCAACATGAACTTCTGGCAGCTCCTGCCACTTGCCTGTCAGGTTGTTGGGCCGTGGTGGCTTGTGTGTTGCTGTGATGCGGGAAGCTCCATGCCACTGGTACTTTCAATGTCAGCAAGGTCCCCCAAAGCGCATAGGTTTGGGGAGTTCTCAGACTAAGAAGAGACTAGGCTGTCCACGTTTGAGGAACTAGCCATTGAAAACCCTATGCCTGGCGTCGGAAAATGCTAACAGCAGCACTGTATTTTTAGGCATGCTTCTCATGAACCGGCTGATTAATTAAGTAATGAGAGCTAATGCATGCAATGGCACCAAATTCAAACAGTAATTAAATCCTTCCCCTACCGCTGTACCCCAGGCATGTTTTCCCCAAAAGCAACCACTACGATTAGTTTTTCTTTTCTGTTTTGGTTATCTTTCCAGAAATATTTTATGCTCTATACCCACACATGCCCTTCCCCACTTTTTAAAAGCCGATATTTGACTGCCAGCAGCGCCCACCCTCCTGACATTTGACTTTTTGGTAGCACTTAACGTCACATGTATTTTCTCTGTCATTGAGTATATTCCTAGAAATGCAGCTGCTAAGACAAAAGGCACGCTCCCTCCGGCCCCCCCGCACATAACACTTGGTTTGATTTCAGTTCAGATTTCTAATTATGATGAGGCTGACTCATACATATAAACCAGTGACGATTCTTCTACACACGAGCCACGTATGTCCCAATGGTTATCTATTTTTTTGTTTGACCTTACCGTTTAGACCTCTGAATCATTTCCTTCTTTCCAATAGCTCTACTCTTCTGGGCAGCCAGGAAGCCTAGGTGACAGAAGAAGGGGCAGTGAGCGGACACCACATTCACCAGGAAGGCTCTGTGCCGCAGAGCTGTGAGAGGAAGCTGCCACTGCCCAGAACAGACGGTGGAGACTGACTGGCTACCACCCAAGGCCCGGGAAGACACAGTACTCTGGGGAGGACACAGGCCACAGGGAATGGAGACGCCTGCAGCTACTTATAGGCAGTGGCTTTCAGGTCATGTTGCAACGGAAACATTTGGTTTTCACATATGGCGATTTTATTTGGGATCTTACAGAGCATGGACTCTGGAGCTAGCCTCTCTGGATTCGAATCCCAGATCTTACACTTATTACGCTATTACGCATCTTTTTTTAATAAATAATTTTATTGGGGGCTCTTACATATATTATAAAAAAACAGACATCCATTATCTCAAGCGGACATGTCCAATTATTGCACTAACAATTTCTAAACAATATCTTTCTTCCTTCCTGAGTCCTTTGATATCAGCTCCTCATTTTTACCCCTTCTCCCCCACCCTGCCACCCCCACGAACCCTTATTATACATTGTTACTATTATTGATACATAGCTTACACCGCCCATTCTATCCCTTCACTTACTATCCTGGCATTCTTCCCCTGAGGGGGTTACTCTGGCGCCATTGCTATCCACTCCCCCACCCCCTTCCCCTGTCCTCCTGGAGTCTTGATCCCATTCCAGTTTCTGGGGGGCTTACACAGGCGATCCGTTTTCTCCTCTGTAAGACACCAAGGAGGGCCTGCCTTGGCATTAAATGAGAGCAGGACAAAGAGCTGCACCAGGGCATGGCTCAGCACCACCCGTGAGGTGGGCACGTCTAAAACGGACCCTTTCTTCAGAAACCAACTGGCTTGGACAGAGTTGGAGTGCATAAAATAACCCTTCTTGATGGGACCAGCCTTGCCCTCGGGTGGGAGGCAGCCGAAAGTGAATGGATGCCGATGCAGTGAGTCACATGTGAGCATCCTATCAAAGCATCCTGGTTTTCCCTCTCGGCCCATTTCTCAATTTGTTGTAGTTTCTATTTATTTCCTGCTTTTGGATTGAGCTTCTCTGGGTTGACTGTCCTGTGGTGGTTGCTATTGGTGTAATTGTCTTTATATGAAATCCAGGATAGGTAAATCTACAGAATCTACAGAGACAGAAACCAGAATAGTTTCGTAGGGTGATGGAAGGGGAGGTTGGGGGAAACGGGCAGCTAATGACAATGAGTACCAAAATGAAGAAACCGGTCTAGTCAACTAAGATGGTGAGTGCATCACTCGTTTGAATAGCTTTAAACCACTGAACTGTAAGTATGGTATGTGAAGTGTATGTCAATAAAACTGTTAACACCCGCTCCCTCACATCTCTTCTCCCTGTGCACGCTTGTTTTCAGGTACAGCGTCTGGGTGTGTGTTCTGGCAAGGTGGGCAGGGGCTGTGAACAAGACAAGAGTCCCCTGCTGCCCCCATGGCGGCCACTTAGCAGTGCTGGGCAGCATAGTGGTGGACCCTGCCGCCCCCTCTCCTTCTGGAGAAGGACCTACCTTGTCTGGTCCGTGGGCGCACGCTCCGCTGGCTGCCTGGCCAGTCCGGGCCCGCGTTGAACAGCGCGTCCCGCTCGCTCTGCAGCACGTTCTGCAGCTTCCGCTCCTGGACGATCAGCTTCAGGCGCTTGACCCGCTCGCCCGAGCGAGAAATGAAGTCAGGTCTGTGAAAGTGAAGCGCTTCCTGAGGACGAGAGAAAGCCCCGGGCTCGTGCGCCAGCTCTCCAGGTGCCACTCAGGTGGCCAAACGTGGACTCTGGACACGCACTGGTCTTTGGAGGGCTGAGCTTCAGTCTCGAAAGCCACGGGATCAAAGCCACACCTTGGACTCAACCCAGAACTAAGACGGTGGCCGTTTCGAAACGTACCTGGGACAAAGCTCAGCCCAGGGTGCGATGTTAAAATTCCCTTCCGACAAATGCCTCGCTAAGTATCATTTTTCTTTAGCTCTCAAAGGGGTATGCAATGAGGGGGCTTGAAGCCCTTTAAAGCGTTCACCTAAACACACTGTGTGTAAGGTGAAAGGGGCCACAGAAGGTGACACTCTCCCTGACCCAGCTCTCAGCACTCACTCCTCGTCTTTACTCGCACACCCTCTGCTCTGCGGACCACGCCAGGACTCTCTTTCCCTGCTCCCTTGCCTTTGCATCTCCGCTTTAGGAATTCTCGACCATTTGGTTTCGAGGAGATACTGGTTTGAAGGCGCTCACTACTCACTGGTGCCATGGAATTTAGGAGCCCATTTGAGAGTTACCTAAAAGGGGGCCTCTAGGGGAACTTCTGTTTAAGGGTTAGAAGCGTCTCGGGGTGACTATCTCGGGGAGTTCTCCAGTCTCAGCTGGTGCAGACCTTTTAAGAAGGTGAGTTCTGTTCCCCTCATTCTAGCAAGACCTGTCCGTCTGTGGTGGCCTGATCAGACGGGTTGGCACCAGGTCCTTCCTCCTCTCAGAGCAGATGACTGACAGCTGTGGATGGTGTAGATGTTTGCTTCCCAAAGTGGGTGATATTGTCCCCCTGGAGCGTGCTGGAATGATCGAGGGGGCTGCAAAAGCAGTTACCTACACCTTATCCTGGATTATGGGCTATAGTAACAAAAAATTTTTAATTGCCAGACAGGGGCTGAGCAGTTTTGTTTTTTTCTGAAAAGGGAGCAGTAGGTTAAGTCAATGAAGTTTTAGCAACTTAAGGCTTAGACCATTAGTCCTGTACCCAATTTTCTTTGCCAAGTCTTTGGTCTTGGATGAGTAGAGACCAAGGGTTGTCTCTTAGACTGCCGTCTGCAAGCTTTTTAGACCCTAGAGAGTATTCACCACGCTGGAATGTAGAACATACACTTTACAAACTACATTATGTCAATTAACCGAGTTGTTCCACAAGACTACGACTCGAAGCCTTCAAACCCAGAACACCAATCTTGCAAAGTATTTGCTTATGTTTAAGAAATCGCCTTTAACTTGGGGGACTTGCTGTCTTTTAAGGCCAAGGTTTTGGCAGGAATAGGCAAGGCTAGCACATACACATGGCCTCCAGGAACACCTTCCATGCTGGCATCTGGGGACTTGATGCGAAGCAGGTTGACAACGCCAGCCTTCTCATGCCCTGGCCCCAGAACAGGGGTTGAAGTAGAAGGATCAATAATGAGGCAGTCTTGATTAGTGATGTGAACTTATGCTGGAAAGTGGTGAAAACAGATGGGCTGTGGAAGAGCTAGCAAGAGGGCCACATGCTTGTCCTTCAGAAATGCTTCGTCACAGATTTAACTTGTTTGCATCTTTCCCTTGCCACCCCTTAAAAACGCAGCTAAAGATGGGGGGAAGGTAGGGAGAGAAAGAGGGAACTGATCACAAGGATAGACATAAAACCCCCTCCCAGGGGAACAAACAACAAAAGTGGGTGAAGGGAGACAGAGGATGATGAGATATGAAAATAATAATAATCTATAATTTATCAAGGGTTTAGGAGGGAGGGAGGGGTAAAATGAGCTGATACCAGGGGCTCAAGTAGAAAGAAAATGCTGTGAAAATGATGAGGGCAACAAAT